CGACGTGCCTAGTTTGAATCTCAGACCTGAGTGCTTATTTTCAATGAGCACAAACACTTTTAGGTGAGGCATGAATCAATTATCCCTTACTCCTTTCTTGATTAGTCACATTACTAGTATTCTAAGAAGGTTGATGGAGAAGTAGGTGATGAAAAAACTAATTTAATTCGGTCGCTTTAGCGCAGACATTCATGAATCTATCACACCAACCATCATGGTCCTTCATCAAGGTCGGAAGGTCATTAGCGAGGCATTCTGTGTCATTACATAGCCTGTCAATGTAGGTGGTTACTGGGCGATCAACTCAACTTGTCCTATGGCTGACATTAGATCACTTGCGAGTTCTTGTTTTGGCCGACAGCATTGCCTTGTAAAGTGCGTTCTGCGTTCGCTTAAGACTGTAGGAATGGGTCTATAGTTTTAGTTGGATGTTGTCTTCAGGCCATGTTAAGTATAATTCTCCGCATCCGAATGTTGGTTTCATCAAGCTTAGACTAGGATTTTAATTAAGGTCCAGGCAACGGCACCATATATCAACACCGCCTCTACAGTGGCTCGTAAGAATCTCCGCTTGAGGTTGTATAGTAGATCAGATTTCCAGAGTACATCCATTTTATTCAAAGCGACCCATTCATTCTTGATAATAGCCTCTTTCCTCCAAATTTGAAGGACTTCTTTCTTTTTAATTTTTTTTCTTCAGATATGCCCATAAATTTTCAATACGGTTTAGGTCAGGACTGTACAGTGTACACCAATAATTTAATTTTGCTATCATCTAAGTATTTTGTAATAATTCGTGCCGTGTGTTTTAGGTCATTGTCATGGAACGTCCAATGAATTCCCAACGACAGCCTTCATGCACTTAGTTTTATATCATTTTTAAGAATAGCCAAATACTGCTCTTTATCAGTAATATCCTGTACTCTCACTAGGTCTCCTGATCCAAAATCATCAAAACATCAACAAAGCAGAATACTCCAACCATCATGTTTAATTGGAGGGAGGATACGTTTCATCAATACATTACGGGAGTTTGTGTGACCAAATAATTCTTGTTTGGTTTCATCTTACCATAAAACAGTTCCAATATTTACACTTATCTTGTCGATGGTTTCTAGCATAAGCTAATTTGCATTTTAAGTGTTTAGTTTTAAGCAAGAGAGTTTTCCTTGAGCGATAAGCTTGAAGTCCTGCTCGGTGAAAGCATCTAGTGACTGTCTTTGTCAATACATTCAACCCTGATGTCTTTACATCATTGACAATGTCCTTTGTCGTTAAGTAAGGATTCTTCGAGATATCCCTAACATTTTTCCTTTTCAAGAATTTCCTTTCTCAAAAATTAACCGTTTTCTGCCATTCCTGAATTTATTCTCAACACAATGAGTATCGTTGTACTTCTTGATAATGCTACGTATTGTCGATCCATGAACATTTAAATGCTTGGAAAGTGTTGTATATCCGTCACCTTGTTTGTACACATCAACTATCTGCATTCAGTTTCTTTTCAAGCTCCACTGTTTTCGCCATGGTTGCAGAACTAAGGCGTTATCACGGTACGTGGCACTCATATATAATCTTCTTCGTTACCTTTTAGAATGTTATAGAATCAGGTCGACACTATTTCATTTTCAAATGGTGTTTAAATGTCAAATTAAGAAAAGAAAAAAATTACAGTTGCCATAGAACAATGTTCTTTTATAATTTACATAAGAAGTGGGGCGAAAAATTTGGGGCTGCACCAATTTTTAGATCGTCCTGGGTAAGACGATAAACTACATCCAACAGCAGATTTTTAGGAAGCGTGGAACCACCTCTTAAGTGCTGGTGTTCCCAGGTCCACCCTTACCCGTGGTAGTAGCTCCTGTTAGGGTCCCAGCTATGAGCAAATAGTGAACTCCCAGTTTTTCCCATCATACATCGGCGTCCTGGGTATGGCGATAAACTACGTCCAAAAGTGTTGCCAGCTATACGTTTTTGAAAAAATGATGTTGCCAGCTATACGTTTACTAGTAATATATATATATATATATATATATATATATATATATAAATTTGGCATTAAATGACCTACAGTGATTGATATGCCATAAAACCCAACCAACCAATTTTTAGAAAAATCTTTTCACTCTGAACATAATAGATCGAAACTTCTAAAAATTTCACGAGTTATTCAAAACTCAATACGGAATCAACTATTTATGGTAAATTCACTACGTACTTTGAAATGTTCGTATTTCATTAGAAAATATGCAAATATTCAGTAAGGGTGAATAATTCTGTCCACAACTTATATATATCTCAAACATTTTCTCGTCGTCAGATCTGATAAGGTAATCTAATTTGTGGTCTCTCTTGTCCTAAAAACATCCCAACGCATTTCCTTCAAAAAGTTTTCTTTCATTCTGATTTAAAGAAGCCGAAATCAAAAATTTTGACGAAAGGCGTCGTTTTTAAGCTTTTTTCCACTTTTCTTTTGGATACTTATACATCCTAGATAAATGTATTTTCAGGCCAAAGATTGCGTTTAAGCATGAGACACTATCACCGCACGCTATTCCCCCTCATATATTACGTTGATCTATCAAGAAATCTGTGGCCTGGCAAATAGTTCACGCTGAATTTCGATCTGAAATTCTCTCTGTATAATATTCAAACTATTTTCTTAATGTATAAATGATAAGGAAGAAAGACATGTCGAAGATTGATTTTTTTTTTTTTTTTTTTTGAAAGTTGTGAAAAGCACTTTGCTTGCCAAATTAAAACTGGCATAGAATTCTAAATTATAGCTTAAATTAAAAAGAATAAAACCTTGTAAGTCCAACAGATAATTTATTGTTAAAACTGATATATTTTGCCAAGCTTTTGCGATCTTTGATCACTCTTGAGAAATAAATGAAACAATGACTAAGCTATATTGTATACGTTATAAATTCAGATTAACAAAAAAAGAAAAAAAAGGCGATCAAATCCTTTCCAAAATATATCTGTTTTAACAATAAATTATTCGTTGGAATTACTAGGTTTCATTCATGTTAATTCAACTTCACCAGTGGAATCGAGCGTTTTTACAATTATAATTTAAATTGTTTGAAACTCTGCCGGATTCTTCTATTTTACATTTGTGATTGTTTTTGTTTTAATTGGCAAAGAACTAATGACGTCAATCGTAAGACTATTGAAAAGTAAACTGAACAAATACTTCAATGCAATACCTTCAATTATAATGCAAAAAATGTGTACTCCAATCCTAAAACACCTGTATAGGAGGGCTAAAAAATAAAAAGATATAAATTTTCTAAAATTGCAAAAGTCATTACGTCAACAAAAATATGCTGTCGTCAGAAATTCTGGAACTAAACGAGGATGCACTACAATCCCAATTATCTTTTGAGAAGAACTCAACAGAATTTTGTTCAAAGCAATCTATTTTTAATAAAATATGTTTCAGATCGACAACCTCGAACACAAAATGAGCAATATCTTTTGAAAGTTAACCGCAGATAAAAGGCTACCCCCTATCGCTTGAGATAGGGTTAAGTAAATGCATTTTCCTCGATTTAACCAGAGAATTATTCACAGACACACATACACACACACAATTGTCTTTACGCACGCGCGTTCGTTTCTTATAACAGGTGGAACCCTCTCCGCCGACATTCGTGTTTTTCTGTATTTGTTTTTCTCGATATGGTATGTCAGTTATTGTTTATCTAACTGGACGGCGCTGATGTCGTTCGGATGAATGTTTATTTTTCGAACTTCAACTTGTAGATTGGTTCCGTGTATTTGAAGACAGGAATGTACAAAAAAAGAAAAATGTGTGTGATATATACTTTTCTTCACCCCTTTTCCTGTTCGGCTTTGTATCATTTCTCTATTTTCTCTCTACACACCCAATTTGTCATCGCATATACCAACATGAGCTTAGATTAACTGCCTTACTTCTGATCAATATTACGAGAGTTGGTCAAAAAGTAATAACTCTACAGATTTAATTTTAAGTATTAGTCTGAATTATATATATATATATATATATATAGTGAACATTGAAGTCAATTTTAAGTATTAGTCTGAATATATATATATATATATATATATATATATTGTTTGAACATTGAAGTCAACACTTAGAGGCGACAGGCATGTTTCATACTAGACGCAATCGTCAAGCCACGATTGCGTCTAGCATGAAACAGCGTGTTGACTTCAATGTTCACTTTTATATTTACACACGCTCTCTCTCTCTCTCTCTCTGATATTGAGCAATTTATCCCATAAATATAGCACACCTTAAGAGTATATTTATTCATATATATATATATTCTTAAAATATAAGGTTTACGTTGAAAGACCTGTTCTCGTGCGATCACTTAAGCAACGTCGAACCTGGTTAGTAATTAGATGGGCAACCGCTTGAGAATACAAGATGCTGTAAACTTGGATCTGCGGTTGGTATAATGGATAATGATTCAGAATTGGAGAACCGAGTTCCAATTTCCTTGCACTTACGCGAAAATAATATTAGAAAAGTTATGAATTCACTTCTTCCTCATAGCTATGGGTTATTTAGTAAGACTTGTATCATTAAACTATTATCTCAAAAAAATATTTTACATTCTTACAATCAAATCGGATTCTTTCATTCCCAGTAACCCCCTTGCGTCTTAGTTGCTTTATCGCCCTACTTGGGGGGAAATGATAAAAAAATTCTGCATATGTATACATTTTATTCATATATATGTTTGGGATGTTATGTTATATTTAAAAACTGAGTGAAAAGTTTCTTCCGATATAAGAAAAAAACCTCAAATCTGTCATTAATTCCTTCGTGCTTTGAAAGAATTTAAGATCCTTCAGGAAAAATATTGGCTCTTTTCTGTTATCGACATTCAACATCAATGTTTCTTTTACTAAAGGATTAGAGTATGAAACAAAAATGTTAAAAATGAATATTAAGTTAAGCAATGTTTAGTCTAGTCAGTACCTTGATGGGTGACGGCTTACGGCCATATCACGTTGAAGCAACGGCTCTTGTACGATCACCGAAGTTAAGCAACGCCCAGCCTGGTCAGTATCTAGATGTGTGACCAGTTGGGGATGCCAGGTGCTGTCAGCTTGAATTTGCGAGTAGTGTAATGGATAATGGCTTGAAATTGGAAATCGGAGCTGTGTTCCAATTCCAGTCGGGTTCGTTATATTCACTTACGCGAAAATAACCTTAGGGAAGGTATGAGTCCATCTCTTCGCACCCCGCCAACCCTTGGTTAATTAGTAGAACTTTTATCAGTAAAGGATTATTATCGTAATTTTTTTTTTTTTTTTTTTACACACCCTCAAAATATTTTCTGGATTTAAATAACCTTCAAAAGGTTAAGCTGTAAAAAAGAACAAATCAATCAAGATTGGATGTGCGGGTTTTGTGATGGATAACGGCTCGTAATTAGAAATCGGAGATCTGAATTCGAATTCCTCTTGAGTTCATTATATTCAATTACGATCATATATAATTGGGGAAAATTATGAATCATCTGTCTCCTCAAGTTAAGGGTTCAATAGCAGAACAGACGGGTTCATACACCCTTGGTATTCAAACAGTTAACCAAAGAAAGTAACAGCAACCTACTACGGAAATTTTTCTGATAATTTCGTTATAAAGAGAAAAGATAGCCCAAGCGTGCACCATGCATGGCGCCTAAAGAAAAAAAAATGAACATTCAGTAAAACAGATGAAATGAAAACTTGTGGCAACAGATGTTTTACGGAGTGATGCTTGCTTTTTTTTGTACCAATTGCTCACCCAATACAAAGCCAAAGAGCCACACATGGTAGACCTTTACTAAATGAGGTTGCTGTATGGACGTAAGAGAAAGCTATGTTCAGATTATGGTCAAGTAGAACAGGTCGATTTAGGAACCGTGGTATTATACTTATTAAGGTTTGACATAACAAATAAGGACACAAAATATTTTTTTCCAAATTTTTACCGTTTTTTGAGGGAAAAAGTTTAAAGATTAATTAGAGAAACAGCATATTTTGTTAGAATTTTGGTGTGAAAATATTTTCCTTTCAATAAGTCAGTTGATAATACAACAGATATCAACTTTTATTTATTTGAAATAGTAAAATTTTAGCCAGTTTGTCAGCAAAAATCCACGGAAATTAGGTATTTCTGTACATTTTTTTCAGACGATATTTTGGTGAAAGGTATAAATCTGATTTTTTGTGATAATGCTTATAACATCAAACCTCAGCTTTCAAGTGCTTTGATTTTCTTGGGAAAAAAACCCAACCAGCCCTAATGAAGAAAAGGTAACCTAAACTTGAAGAAGTTAAGATTGTAGTGATCGTTGAAGCAACCTCTCTGGAGTCATGCACAAAATTTCAGGAATGATTGCATCAATGGAAAAGACGCAGGATAAAGACTTCAGAAGGAGACTAAATCGAAAGAGATTAAATACTGAATATGTGTTTTGTTTTTATAGTACCAGTCACTAAAATCTGAACTTGTTCAAGGCTATGGTTAACCGTTATCTTCCACTCCTATGCACACAAATGGCCTCCAAACGTAACTCTCTATCTCGAGTGCCCTCTGGGCCTTGTAAATGGTGAACCTCGCTGTAAATTATATATAGTAAGGTAATGAAGGGTTTGGTAATCCGTGTGGATAATTCCAAAGAGGATGTGATCCAGAGAGCTCAATGTAATACCAGAGCAAATATTAATTAAATAATTAAGAGACAACATTATGATTCCATGACTATAATTTATTTCGCTAGAAAATATATTTTTCCTGGTTCATCAGGTCACATCTATAGTTACAAAAGAATTAGGTTTCTTTTATTTTAATACAGGTTTTCGAGGGATAGTTTTAGATTGATATAAGGTGTCAGAAGTGGTGGGAGGATTATGGAAAGGTTTATCTTGGAAATGTGAACTAAGGATAAGATTGTTTTTTTTGGGGGGGGGTTAAACCATCTTTAATAATATACTTAGGTTCAAGTGTACTCCGTTAAGATGCCAGACAATTTGACCTCTTAAATAATTTTTAGACAGGAAGAGAAACAAAGAAAAAAGGAAGACAAATTGTAAAGAATTTGTTTTGTTTTATGGCATATCAACCTCAATGGGTTATTTACTACCGACAATTTTTATTGCTGGTAATGTTTTTCTTCAAAAATCAATGTTTTGGGAGTATTTTTCCTTGAAGAAATCTATAGCTAGTCATATTTTTTATCAAAGTTTGTATTGCTGGTATTTTTTAAGTATTGTTGATAATTTCTCCTTCAAAAATTATTGCTGGTAATAATTTTTTATTACAAAGTATTTCTGGTATTAAAACCTATTTTTACACAAGTTTGGGTGTTAACTATTTGCCCATAGCTGGGACCCTAACAGGTGCTACCACCCCGAGTCAGGGTGTACCTGGGAGCACCAGCAATTAAGAGGTGGTTCCACGGTTCTCAAAACCCCCTGATCAGAGGCCTTGCTGCTGGATGTAGTTTATCGTTTTACCCAGGACGCAAATTGTAAAGGAGGTGAGTGGTGGTGGTGGGGGGGATAAAATTGACCAGTACATTTTATACAGACTTGAACTCTGAATATAATATTTACGGCACTATGAGAGAGAGAGAGAGAGACCTGTATTGAAAATCTTGAGGACTGGTTGCACGACCTTGACTTTTTTTTTTTTTTTTGTTTTGCAACTAATCCGAAAAGGAACCTTACTGCTCCGTTAGGCTGTTCAATCAGCAGGGAAACGCCATTGAGAGGATTTGTGTACCGTATAAGAGTTTCATTTTTCTTGTCTTGTGCTGGATTCTTTTGGCTTCTGTACAGATTAGATTTAACTGTCTGCAACTTATGGCTTCTCCCAAAGCTTAACTCTTCGCTGAAACGCCATGGGCGTGATGAAGGCGTACACAGCGAAGCAGCTTCTGGTGATTTCGAAAGAGGTCTTTAAAGACTGTTTTGAAAGGTGGAAGTAACTCTGAGATAAGTGTACGAGATCAAAGCAAAGTACTTTGGTGATGGCAATATTAGCCGTTTCCGTATGAGGCTTTGTCCGATCAGCCAGTGCTAATGTCGGTTGAATTATTATTTTTTTTTTTTTTTTTTTTTTTTTTTCTGGAAAATACGTTTTGAAAATCCAGTAACTGTTATCACTCTTATCAGTGTTGACGGGGGTTTCCTTAACCTTTTGTTTGAAGTAGTGTTGAACGTCAACATCATGTCATGTCCTTATTTTCTTTTCTAGTTACATGTGATATCCATTTTTGTTCTTGCGGAAAGTCGTCAATTGATGTTGATTGATTGTTATTTGTTCTGTTTGGATTCTACAGTTCTGTTTGTGGTTAGAACGTTCGATTTTCCGTGCTAAAAACTATCCACAAATTCCGGGTTCGAATCTCATCTTCGATTACAGTGAATTGATAGCCATTGCCGTATTCGGTTAAGACGCACAATATTTAAAAAATGGTGAGCAGTCCACAAGAAGGTGATTCGTGGGTGGTTCGAACGAGACCTTAGAATCAGTTTGGCGCTTTGCGATCAATGGCATCCTTACTCCATGCATATACAAACAAATGCACACTCATTTACGAATGTTGAAATTGTCAGCTTTATACATTGTTTTTCTCAGATCGATGATTCAGGAACGAAAATAAAAATCGCTACAAGTCTGAAAAATGCAGGTCTTAGATAAGGTCATTACAGGACCATCCTTCCTTCGAACCTCAATAGATTCAACTGGCTTCAATTATTAAAAAATAAAAAATAAAAGAACTGTTTACTGAATAAAAACACAACTATATCACTTGAGGACTTTCGTCATCTTCTAACAGAAAATAATGTCATAAAGATGTTGACATTCCACGCTGCTTCGAACAAAAGGTTAGAAAGGAAAGCTATTGATCGATTTGTTGTTTTTTTTTCCAGTAAGCGAGTTTTTGGAAATAAACAATTTTATTGATACAAGTCAAAATTTAATCAACCCATAGTGGACTTTGGAAGAGTAAAATTGTCAATAAAGATGTTGAATTCCGGTATTCGAACAAAAACGGTTAACCGGATCGATTTTAGGTTTTTTTTTTTAAGATAATTCATTGGGATTAACCAACGCCTTTATAGACTGTGCCATGTGTCCCTGAGGACATCTATGGATGAATTTCTGGGTATCCTAATGTCTTCAGCAACCATTTTTACCAGAGCTGAGGTTTAAACAAAAATTCTTCAACCATTTTTACCAGAGCTCATATTGCAATTTTTTGTTATTATTGCTTTTCTCTGGCACTCCTTATTACTGGTTCCCATATTGTATTCATTTCTATGCTTGGTCGGATCAGGAGATTTTTGTGGCTTAGAATATGTGCTGATTCCTTAAATTTACGAATTTTCCAATAGTGTTCTTTGTCTATGATCTCAACCTGATGCCACAGAGGGCGGTGATCTCCCTTCTCTCACCATATGTGGTCAGCCACGCCTGATTTTTCCACTTCCCCTGGTGTTACAGCTTTCTGGTGTTCTTGAAGCCTTACCTTAAGGGAGGTTCTTTATATATATATATATATATATATATATATATATATATATATATATATATATATATATATACCCTTTATATTTCTTTCCGCAGCTGCACGGGATAGCGTACACACAGTCTTTAGTCATATTCTCCTCTATGGGGGGTCTTACTCGGGAGAGATATCTGCGAAGTGTCGTCCAGCTTTTGAAGGTTGTCCTGATGTTATATGGACGACAGAGCCTTTGTATTTTCTCTGATAACCCCTTCACAGGCAGACTGTTTTCTGAGTGTTGTTGTCCTCCCCTTGTACACACCTATCCCAATTTTTGAGGGCTGCTGCTATGTACCCAGGGTAGTTGTTACGTTGTAGGTGAATTCATATCATTTTTTTTTTCAAAGGTATTTGCGCGTTAGTGAATATAACGAACTTGACTGGAATTGGAACTCGGCTCTCCGATTTCATTACACCACCCGAACATCGAAGCTTATATCCTGGTATTCCCAAACTGTCACCGATCTAGGTACTGACCACATCGATACTGGAAAGAGCAGTGATAGTAATAGGACCTGACAAACCTATCTTTCTGAAAAATT